AACTACATGTGTTGGTGATGATATAAAAAAATTCCGAAAAAAAATTTAAAATTTTCGTTGGTTTTCGTATAGTTATGCCCTAAATTGTTGTGCATATTCCCATCATTTAGTGAGGACATTGTCGAGTTCAGCTGAGGAAATCCAACATATATTTTTCGATTTTTTATTTAGTTTTTTTATATACTCTCGGAACTCTTCCATGGACAGGCCAGAGCTCTCTCACTCTCATTGCTGGATGGTCATGCTGTAGCGCATGTAGAGTTTCCTGGCCATCCATAGTCACCAGACAGTTTTTGTATACTCTTGTATACTGTATAGTTTCTGTATACTTTTGGTACCCTTCCGTAGAGAGGTTAGAACTCTTTCACTCTTAGTGCGACGTGGTGACGCTGTAGCACATTAGCAGTACCCCAGCCACATATCATTAGGTACCCGGTGTGGGAGATAGATGAATACGGCGAAGTGAATGGAACAGAAGCCATGATGGCAGAGATAGCTCATCGTGGCCCTATAGCCTGCTCGATAGCAGTACGTCGAGTGGCGTTGGTTTGTGGACAGTATGCAGCAGCAGGTCACGGAGGCATTCGAGAAGAACTACACCAATTTTGACGTTTTTGAGGACATGACGGGTTGGGTCAAAGTGTGTTGGTTAACATGAAAGGCACCATGGTAGGAGCGACGGAACCGGAGCACGAGATTGCGGTGGTTGGATATGGAACGACGCCGGAGGGAGTACCGTATTGGATAGGAAGGAACTCATGGGGACACTACTGGGGCCACAGCGGCTTCTTCAGAATCGTAAGGAAGCGCTACTGTGGAGTGGGAGATTTCACTTGGGGGCCTTTAGGTACGTGGAAAGAACAACTTGGGCATTGAAGGAGACTGTGCTTGGGCAGCTCCAGCAAATGGAGGAAAGCCCAGGAGGGTGAGCAAGTGTCGTGTTGCTTTGCTGAGAAATTACTCTGTGGAAAGGATCCTATCTCAGCAATAGAGTTTCAACCATACTCAATATTCTAGCTATGTAATGGTCTGTGGAATATTTCCTCGCTAGTGTTTTTCATATCACGGGTGGAATTCCAATGATAGCATGAGCCGCTGATAGGTGCAATTGGAAGGCGCTTCCTCGTCCCCCCCTATGTGGAAAATCGGCGCCCCGGCCTCTCGAGCTGGATGCCGTCGGCGTACCAGACTCCAGCGACCTCCCAGAAGCCGTCGTGGAGTTCTGCCTCATGTGGCTAGCATTACTGAAGTCCCCCTTACGCTGGATTGGAGGAATGTCAGTGGTGTTACCAGCTACAAGAGTTGGGATAAAAACCAAGTAGGTCGGCGGCGCCTCCGCCCTCTCACTTAACATTCTCAGCATATACCGCAATACTGCGGTTCTTGCTGGGCCCAGGCGGTGACTTCAATGCTATCAGATAGGATCAGCATACAGCGGAACGGGACGTGGCCGCCGATCAACTTGGCCCCTCAGGTCAGTTCGCTGTTATATACCCTCATGATGGTCCGAGCAGGT